TTCCTCAGAACGCTCGTGTTTGAGTCGCTGCCATACTTCATCTCCGGCCCGCTATTGGTGCTCGCTGGCGATCGCGATGGGGCGAGGGCCAGATACGCATGGCCGTACAGCGTAGGAAAAATGTGGGTCGATCTAAACGGCACAGCTCTTTTTTGGCTATATTTCATTTGCCAGTTGTTGTGGTATCCCTTGCCAGACGTCAATATTTGGGATGCCACCTTCCTCCTCCTGCTCATGATGTGCAGATCTAGTACCGTTTCCGTCAAGTACGCGTTGTATGGAGAGAAGGCTCGAGAGAGGATGCGATCGGCGTGGTACGTCAAGTTCAAGCGCATTCTTGTATCGACCATGAGCGGCCACATATTGAACTTTGACGGGATTCAGTGCGTTGCACTCTTGGAGCAGGCGTGCCTGTCGCAGGTGCGTGCCGACTGCGACCTCTCGACCGGGACGGTGCGCTTCTTCTGCAAGGAGGATGCGGAGCGGTGCGCCGCTGTCGCCGCGGGGCTGATCCAGCAAGTCGCCGACGTCGAAGCCGGCATGACAGGAGCTGGCAGCCCCGACGATCCCAGAGCCGGCGCTCCCGACGGCTGCACGCCGCCGGCGGCTGGCCCCGGGTGCCCGGCCCACTGCCACTTCGAGTGCCTGACGGAGGAAGCTCGCGGCATCCTGGCCCGGTGCATCCCCGCGCTGCTCAGGGCGCGAGACGACGAGTGCCAGGTGTCTACTTTCGCGTACGCCCTGTACCTGCTGCACGCCTCCCACAGCATCTCGCAGAGGACGGGCCAAGCTCGCTGGGCCCCCTTTTTCGTGGTAGGGAGCCTGATCGGATGGCTGCCCGTCGTGATGCGGGCTCTTCTCGGAGAGCCCGCGTTCGGGACCTCTGCCCGCGCCAACTTCCTGCTGGGCGTCCACCCGGTGGTGTACAGCTTCTTCGCTTCCACGCTGCTGTACTACGCGTGGGCCCCCTGCCTCTTCCGGTATCGGCAGTACCGCCTCGAGGACTTGATGCTCAAGAGCATGTTGCTCCCCCAGGACCGCCAGCCGGTGCGCATCAAGTGGCGGCGAGACACCATGAAGACGCCGAGACTCGACATGACCGTGCCGGATAACGTCCTCGGCTGGGCGGCGGTTTGGCGCGTGCTGCATGGGGGGGGCTTCCACAGCGCCTTCCAGATTCGGTCCAACGTCTATTGCATGATTACCTTCGGAGCAGTTATCGTCGGCACAACACTTCAAACAGTGGCATTCGAACTGAACATGGACCCGTTCCCGCTGCCCAGCAAGGTTCAGGCCTTCGTCTCGCTGGGCCTGTCGGCGGCGTTTGTATCCCTGCATCTCTTGCTGGCTCACTTCTCCAATTGCCTTGCCACCGAGCTCGGCGCAGGCTTGCATAGCCATCGCATGAATATCGCGGCGATCATGAAGACGGAGGCTGTTGAGGACAGGCAGGACGAACTGAGGACGTCGTTCGAATACCTTGACGCCCTGGAGGCAGAGACGTCTGCCAAGGCGTGCGCGCATCCGGTCACGGTCGGCTTCGTCAAGGGCGACATCGTGCGCTTGTACACGATCCTCACTGTCTTTTCGGTCCTGTTATATACGGACCTGAACAGGCTGCGGCAAATGGTGGACGATGTCAGGCAATCTTGAGCGTCGCGCGAGTCATTTGAGACGACCCTCACTGTCTTGTCGGCCCTGCTATATGCGGACCTGAACAAGCTGCGGCGAGTGGTGGACGATGCCCATCAGTCCTGAGCGTCGCGGGAGTCATGTTAGCCACAAAAAGAAAACTCCGCAGGACTCCTGAGGAGTCCTTCCTTAGAAATCCTACTGAGTCCGATGTGCACGACCGTGCCCATAGGATTGCTTAGGAATGTTTCTGAATCCTGCGGATTCCTTGGGGATCCTCGGGGATCCTGGAATCTTCTGGTTTTCTGATGATTCAATTGGAATCCTGAGGCATCCGGAGAAATCCTTGGGATACCTGAAGAGTCCAGAGGAGTCCACGAGAACCCGCAGGAATCCCGAGGGGATCCTCTGGAGCCCCGAGAAGTCTGGGGGAATCCCGAGGAATCCCGAGGAATACCTCGGAATCCAGGGGAACCCTGACTCCGGATCCGCCCTACTTCTGTGGATCTCCGCCCTACCTTATGCTGGGTGCAGAAATTTCCGCCCTACTCTTTCGGCTTCCTATAAGTGGATTTCCGACGCAGTTTTGAGTTGGAGAAAAAGCCAAAGTAGGGCGGATCTGGAGTCAGGGAACCCTTGGGATTGAAGGATATCATTCCCACGGCCGAGCCAAAAGTGCCCGTGGTGCTCTGCAGAGAGATCACGGTCGAGGCGGCGAGCCGTCGGCGGTCGGACGGATATCGCAGCTGCTCTTCGCTGCATCCAGAGGCGCTCTGATGTTTCCCTTAACCCCTCCTCCTCCTCCTCCTCCTCTTCCTCCTCCTCCTCCTCCTCCTCCTCCTCCTCCCCCTCCTCCTCCTCCCCCTCCCCCTCCTCCCTTGCGCCTTCTGGGAGGCGCTCTGATGTTTCCCTTACTCAGAACCTTACTCCAGATTTCGTAATAAAAGGGAGGGGGTCTGGACCCTCCAAGACAGGCCACTTCAGACCTCCGTCGTGGGAGAACCCTCCAAAACATCGTCCAGAACCCCCCCCCGAAATGAGACCCCCCTCCCTTTATTACGAAATCTGGAGTATTCACGCGCCCCAGAAACGTCGCAACCAGTTCGGACCGATCGCGGTTGAAATTGGTCCGAAGGGGTTCCTGAACGGTCCGAGGTGGTTGCGAGAAGTCGCGCTCCCTATCGACACCGATTCATTTCAGGCGGATAATACGATGTGCGCGCACACGTTCATCAAGTCAAGTCCGGTCGAGGGGCCTATGGAGGCACCTCGCTCCGCAAGCGGAGCCGGAGGGCGTGAGACACTACGGCAACAAAACGCGCATGCAAGAGAAACGTAGTGGACAGGGCAGCAATAAATTATACATAGTAGTATACATCAGTCGCTCTTCATGAAATCTAGAAAATGCTTTTCCATCCGCTGCCAAGGGAAAGGCTCCTGGCTGCGAATCTCATTCATTAAATTCGTGCCGTGCTCTTGTCGCAGAAATGAATCGACGGCATCTGTCCATCTTCGACGTGGCCGCCTTCGGCGTCTGATGCCGTCCGGACGCCACCGTAGAACTTGCGCCGGCCATTCTCGCGAGCCGCCGGTGGCGAGTCGCGCCACGAGGCGCCACATTGAGCGATCCAACACGACAAGCCAGTTCGACACAGGACAAATCTTCAAAGCAACGGTCACTTTCTGCTTGGTGCGTCGCCCCGCTTCCTCCCAAGTTTCGTGGGAAAGCTTGCTGAGACCAACTATCTGGCGGAGCATTTTTGAGCGCGTCGATACAACTCGCGCCCGCTGCTGTGCTGTCATGGCTGTTGTCGGAAGACCGTAAACAGCCGTGGGCGTAACAATCGCGTCGAAAAGCTTCAAACGAAGGCGCAAAGATATAGATCTGTTCAAAAGTACTGCCTTCTGGGAATGGAACTTCCCCCATGCGCACTCCATGCGGTAGTTCACATTGCACTCTGACCTATTGCGCAAGTCGCCCCCGAATTTCTTACCTAAATACTTGTGAAACACCTGGGACGTCATAACTGGCAACTGGCAACCGGCAAGCTGCAGAATGGTGGGCTCTGCGGCATTGGAAACAGCAACGTCGTTAGTAAATATTCGCGTTTTGTCTGCATTCAATGACAGGCCGCATGCTGACAAATCTTCCGAAAGGATGTCTAGCATGCGACAAACCTCTGCTGCAGAACGCGCATATAGTAAAATGTGGTCGGCGTACCGTATATTGCTAAGCAAGCTGACGCCTCCAACGTCGAAGCCGCACTGCCGAGCACGCAGCTTGAACTTCCGAATTGCGTGCTCCAAGCCGGCGTTAAAGAGCAATGAAGACAAAACGTCTCCTTGCTTGACGCCGCGCGTAATGTCGAACGCTTCACTTCCATTGACGCTGCCCCATTGGGCACTGTAGATGTCTGACAAGAGACGCACATATTCTACATGAACTCCCTGCCCCGACAATGCCTGGAAAAGCACGTGGTGTTCCAGCCTGTCGAACGCTTTCGTGAGGTCTATGCTAGCGATCCACAGTGGGAGTTGCCACTCCCAAGCTTTCGTGGACAGATCCTCCAGAACAACAAAAGCGTCGTCCACGGAGCGGCCTGGACGGAATCCTACCTGGTCATGTGTTTGTTCTTTCTCTAGATCAGGCTGCAAGCGTGCAAACAGTAATCGTGCAAATATCTCATATGTGATGCGTGAAATGGCTATGGGGCGCCAGTTTTTTGCATCATGTCTGCTCCCCGCTTTCGGCAGCATCACAAAACACGTTTCCTGCCATGTGGGATCGATGCATCCTGTGCTGAGCAACGAATTCAAACACGACAACAGGTGTCTGTGCAGAGCATCGCCTCCACACGCAAACATTTCGAGGGTGATGCCGCGTTTATCTGCGCACTTTCCGCGCTTCATGCGCTTAAAAGCTTGCCGCAACTCCTCCATGTAAAACGGTGGGATATTATACGAGCCTCTGTTGCAATGTGCCTCGGCCCAGTCGTTCCTGGCAGTGCCGCAGTCCGTGGCAAAAATCTGTTCGAGCGAAGCTTTAAAAACATTACAGTCTAATGGACAACGCTTGCTCTGCTGCGAAGGGAACATGTGCACTCGAGGTAGGTGCTTGATACCCTCAAATTTCAACAGCTGTGACGCAGCACGCTCGTCGCAATACTCCCGCATGCGTTTCCGGTGCAGTCGGAAAATCTGCTTGGACAATCTGGACCGTTCCTCTGGATCACATGCATCGCGTCGCTGTCGACGCATCTCTCGCAACTCAGGTGCATCCCATGGCTTCGCATGCGAGCGAGTTGCGTTACTTCGAGCTCCAGCCCGCTTGGCTGCGGCGACAACGTGGTCCTCCAGTGCAAAGAAAG